TCAAGCAACTTCAAATGCATTTTGTATTTTTACTTCGGCAAGCTGACCGAGTCAAAATCAGGATCACTACAATAGAGAATACGAAGTCGGGGATCATGTGTTCATAAAACTGACTCCAATGAAAGGGCAAGCGCGGTTTGTAGTGAAAGGAAAGTTGGCACCGAGATACATCGGACCATATGAAATTCTTGAAAAGATCAATTCAGTAACATACTGAGTAGCCTTACCTCCGGTCATGGAGCATATGCACAATGTTTTTTACATATCTATGCTTTGAGAGTATTTGAGAGATCCACTACATGTAATTGAGCCGACTCATGTACTTCCAAAAGATGATTATACATACGAGGAGAGGCCAATGCAAATTATGAATCGCTGAATTAAAAGATTGAGAAACAAGGAAATTCCGTTAGTAAAGGTTGATTGGCAAAATCATGGAGGAACCTATGCAACTTGGGAAACAGAAGAATACATGATGAAAAGATACCCTGAATTGTTCCCTTTGAACCCGGTATTCTTCCAAAATGAAGGTAATTCGAGTTTTGAGGACCAAACTCTTTAAGGGAGAATACCGTAACAACCCCGACCCATGATTAATGTTAATCCATGATTTCATATGTTTAATAAGTTATTAAGATCAAATTCTGAATTAATTACATGTGTGTTGTATTATTTGTGTCTATCTCTGTTTAACGTAGGAAAGATCTATTCATGTTTTTATTTTGGTTTGTGAATTGAGGGCCCTATCGACATCCGATTCGGAAATTGACTTGAATTATGTGTTAATTGGAATTTTTAAAATTTATGGTAGGTTTAATTGAAATTCGATTCGGAATGATTAAAATTAGAGTAATTAATGCTCAATCAAGCCTAATTAAATAATTTCTTAATCCAAGCCTATATAAGGCCCATTCACACCACTTGAGCCACCTTTTTCTTATCATCTTTGAGACTCCAAGAGGGAAAAATGTGAGAAAGGATGAGAGGCTAAGAACTTGGGATCAACTTGAGGTATAGAAGGCCATTGCTAGGAGATTTGGTGAATCACTCAAAATTTTGACTAATTGAAGCTTAATTTGATAGCCTAGATAAGAGCTCAACCTTGCAATTTTGGAATTGAGTCATTTTGCAAGTGAATACAAGTGAAATAGGTGAATTCATATGGGAATTGAGCTAGAATTGAAGAAAGCTAAGTCATTCCATACATGCATGCATGTTTCATAGCATTCTGAAGTTGATTTCAAGTAAATTCTCCATGCATGTCATGTTCTCAACTTAATTATAAAACTTCATCATGCTTTCCCTCAATTTGTCTCAATTGATCATGTTTTGGAAGCTTTGAAGTCAAGAAAGTGCTTGCATGTAAGTCCATGTGTTGTTTTATAAGTCTCAAGTTTGATTTTACTCAATTGACTTACTCTTAGGCCTTGATTTTGTGAAATGATCTTTAAGTCTTAATGTTTTCAAAGTTTAAACTTGTTTTCTCAAGTCTTGTGGCCAAGAGTTATGTTTTGATGGGTTAGATTTGAGTTTTGAGCAAAGTATAGCAATCTGGCAATTCCAGAATTTAGTTATCCGCTCGAGCTTGAGATTCTGCGCTTGAGCGGCCACCTTTGTTTTTGCATCTCCGCTCGAGTGGCCAAAAGTTTGCTCGAGCGTGAAATACTAGCTCCCAGAAGTTCATGTTTTTGCATACCACTCGAGCGGCGAGAGTTGCGCTTGAGTGGGGACATGAGTCTTACACTCGAGTGACCACGAGCGTTCGCCGAGCGTGAAAATCACATAACTAGTACTTTTTCAAAATTTGCAGAACGCTCGAGCGTGGTAAGTTACGCTCAAGCGTCCCCTCACACATTGCATGTCCGCTCGAGCGGGGACCCTGTTTTCAGAAATTTGACCAAGTGTTTTTTAATGCATTTTAGCATCCTCATTGCATCCTAGGCATTCCTAAGCCAAGATTAAGACATAGTAATGAGGGTGAAATGTAGAAACACGCTAAGAACGGAACATAATGAGTTAGATATATTCCAACGTGTGTTTCAAATGTGTATTTGTTATGTGTTGATGTAGGCCACGTGATGTAAACCGTTTGATTAGTCTACTCTATCTGTCTACACCTGAAGCCATATGTGAGTAATAACTTAGTAAAGCTATGTTCAACTTTATTTATTTTCTGCATGATGAATTAATATCTGTTTTTTTAAAATGATATGTTCTGTATAATGAATGATTGTCCAATTTCTGACAATGTATTCGTGGTATCCTTAGCATCATGTGATATATGTTAACTATTACCCAGTATCGGAGGTTTTATTATGGAACTTAATATGTCTGTAATCTGTTACCTGTACCGGAGGCTCCATCATGGAGCTCAGCATATCTGTCATCTGTTACCCAGATTCGGAGGTTCCTTTATGGAACTGGTTACTCGTAACCACCATATGTTCTGCATCTATTCTGTCTCTGTTCTGTTAGCGCTAATGGATGTACCACATATGATTAAGTATGAACTCTGATTTCTGTACATGATTTGAACAAGAACATGAATCTGTTTATGAATCTAAATTATGAATTCTGAATCTAGTATGGACTTCATTGATTAGAACCCCTTACTCTGTTATTATTCACTGAGCTTTTGCTCACTATTTATATTATGTATATAGGTGGCCAGGCACGTGATCAAGGCCAGAATTGATGGCCTGGGATTCCGTTTTGTCAGCTACCCCTTTGCGCCTCCCAAGGGGGTTCCAGACCAAGTCAAGTCGTGTGGCCATGTCCTTTTGAACGCTCAACACTTTGTTTTCGTTTGTTACTAAACAGTTGTTTTTGGTTATCTGTATATGGGGTGACGTATAATTATTGTACCTATGTGATGCCATGAGGATGCTTATGAAGTTTAAAATTATATTGTCCCATGTATGTCTGCACAACTCAATGGACGTTGTATTTTGTATAATTGCTTCCGCAGCCCCTTAATTATATGTTATTCTGTTTAGAGGCCTTTGGTAATTCAAGGATTACTGGCCAATTACGATGCTAAAACTATAGGGACGGGTTTGGGTCGTGACAATTGTCTTTATACGTGGATGACATATTGTTAGTAGGAAATTATCCAGATATGATTATAAAAACCAAAACTTTCTTGGCATCTAGATTTAAAATGAAAGACATGGGTCTTGCAACCTATGTTCTAGGAATTAGAATTTCAAGGGATAGAAATTCAAAATTATTATATCTAGATCAAGAGAAATATCTAGACAACGTGCTCAAAAGATTTAATATGGATAACTGTAATTCTTTAAGCACACCTGTTTGTAAGGGGCAATGTCTTAGTAAAAGTATGAGTCCTCAAACTAAGTCTAACGTTGAGGAAATGAGAAATGTCCTGTATGCTCAGGCAGTAGGTAGCCTAATGTATGCTATGACAAGCACAAGACCTGACATCTGTCATGCAGTCAGATTGGTAAGTAGGTTTCAATCCAATCCAGGTAAGGAACATTTTGCAAGCAGTTAAAAGAATATTCAGATATTTAAAAAGCATTATAAATTTGAAATTATGTTTTGGTTTGTGTGGTCTAGACATAAAAGGATACACTGACGCAGATTTTGCAGGAGATGTAGATGATAGAAAATCTACTAGTGGCCGTGTTCTTGATTGGTGGAACAACAGTTTCTTGGTTAAGTAAGAAACAGAGTTGTGTTGCAAAATACACTATAGAAGATGAATACCTAGCTTGCAGCACACCCATGAGTAATGCGGTCTGGATAAAACGTTTTGTTGATAGTTTACAATTAGGTATACCTACCAGACCGATCAATATGTTTTGTGACAATCAATCCGCCATCTCATTAATAAAAAGTGGAGCGAATAGCTCTATGGGAAAACATATTGATGTAAGTTACCACTCTATTCTGGACATAATGGAGAGATGTGAAATTAAAGTCAACTATATCCCCTCAAAAGAGATGGTGGCTGACCCTATGACCAAAGGGTTGTCTCTAGAAAAATTCAAAGAACATGTAGTTATGTGGGATTGAGAAATGCCTAGCTAGGTGGTTTGGCTACTTATATAAGAGCATAGTTCGATAACTCTGGGGACGCCCAGATAACCGATGTTTTGTAACTCTATCTTGCATGGAAACATATGTTTGGTCAGGTAATAAGATAGAGGAACTAGCAAGGTACGGACATCATAGTTAGCATGAGAAGTAAAATCCATGATATGCAACGTGCTGACTAGATAATGTTGTCTGTTTGATCAACAAAAAGTCGTTGATAAGGTGTGTTAAGGAAAACCTTCAGGAATGGGCCTTAAAGGAAGTACTTAACACAAATTTCGGCGCAGGTCGACACATGAGGAATGTGTGCGGCTGAAGTCGTCAATGGTGATTGGGTATGGACTATGAACCAAGTACTGAAAGTTGATGCAGTTCATTTGAAATATAGTGAATTGAAGTCATCTGGAATGTGTTGTCAGTGGGAGAACACATTCGTACGGGTGCGATCAGATTGGTGACAAAAGCGTGCGCACGTATGGCCAAGTCACAATTAGACGTCGATCTATGAGGTAATTTCATAGATGAAAGTTGGCATGAGGCAAAATTTTGGTACCAAGGTAAACGTGCTCAACTTAATATTTTTCACCTCATTGTGATCAAGTGGGAGATGTTAGATTAAGTGTGACCACATCATAATATGGTGTGCCTCTCCATACTTGATCATTTCCAATTGGCAAGTGTATATCTTCCCACAAGAAAACGGAATGATCTGGTAAGTTAAATTTGAACACAATGAGTGCATTGTTTCATAATAACAGTAACTGTTAGTTTGTTCAAGGTTGTGACCTTTAGTAAATGGTTGCCATTGTGGTTATAAATACATTGGCAGAATGTTTTCACAATTACACATTCAAAACCATTGGAAAACCTGCATATCTAGACCCAACTTTGCTTCTGGATTATTTTATCTTGTTTGATAAATACCTTCACGAGATCACCGATCACTTAGCCATTGTTAGTTTATCTTTCAATATTACTACTATACGTGCCATTTTTATAAACCGCTCCGAATTTGTAAGCAAACTTTTTTGGCCTTTGGCTTTGCCAGAGGGCTTCCTAACACGATACTTGGCCGAGATGGGTGACTTGCTCTCTCCAGCATTGTTGAGGAGATTTTTGACAGGCACGTGGACTTCTCCGACATCTTTGTCACCGACGAGGGTCCGCTCATGGCGGAGCGTAAAGATGAGATTCAAACCGTTCATTTGAATGGCAGCTTCATCAATGGTGAACTTCATGGGATAGTTCCAGGAGGGAGTGGACCCACCATCCTTGTCGACCGAAGTTTTTTGGTGAGTAGAAAGATCGCCGGAGATAGCGATGGAGACGAAGATGTCCATCTTGGAGAAGTGGCCGACGTCTTTGAGGCCTTTAGCCGAGACTATTGTTATCTCTAACTGTCTCTGCTCCATTTTTACTTGAATTGTGATGAACCACAATTAGAGATTGACCACACTATGGTTGATTTATACGTGAAGAGTTATGTTAGGGATTCCAAATAAATTACTAAATTTTTTATCAAACATCTCACATAGATGTGGGACCCACACACATATGATTTGTGTGGGTCCCACACTCATGTGAAAAGTTTGGTAAAAAATTTTGTAATTCATTTAAGATTCATAGCATTTTCCATACATAAACCATGAGAGTTGACTTTTGAACTGTTTAGACTATAGAGATTTGACCCAAAATTTAGAGTTTTATGCCCTCATTTCATTTTGTTGGTTCACTATTTTATATCTCAAAATGATAGTATTATTTGAAAAGTCGAATAAAAAATATTTAATTTTTTAAAGCTAATCGTTTTGAGTAATTATAAATATATCCAAAAAAAATTAAAAATAGAGACATTAGTAAAAAAAATATATTGAAATTTAAATTTAAATATAATAATTACATCTTCCTTTAAAAAGTCAAAATTTCTAGAAACAAGTAACAAATTGAGACGGAGAGAGTGTCAAATTATAGAGAGCTGACTTTACAAGTAATGTGTGCTTTGTGTATTAATTGTTGGTTTAAAAAAAAAAAACAAATCAATTAAATTCAGAATTATTGGAAGGACAATCATTAAAATTCGATAAGATAATTTCTACAAAGACTATTATTGACAGAGGACAATTCATGGATCGGCCATAATTTCAGGTGGAGCCCAACCTACCACCCACGTTGTGGCCCCAAAATTAAATCAACATTCAACATTATGAATTCATGAACTGCCTCTTGAATTGACTCAAACAGAGCAAGTTGTTAGTTGATTTCCATTTTTTAAAACTTCCCCAGCCAAAAAATTATAAAGGTTCCATTTTTATTATAATTCATATTGTGTGAGGACATATCTTCGTATGAAAGTGAGCTGTGTACTCCGATTAAAGAGAAATTATGTTCAATCGCACAATTCTCACTTCAAAAAAATTGGAATGAATTTACTATTTTAACAAATAAAAATAAATGTTTTATTTTACATGAGAATGAGTGAGAGAAGTTTCGACCTTACTTGGACCAATTAAGGCTATAAGAAATATGAATAAGCCTAAAAACAAATAGAAGAATTACAAAATCGGATATATAAGATTTTCCAAATGTACACCATCAATAAATTTTGCAAAATTTTATCAATTTATATATATTTTGTATTTAGTTCTATAATCCATTTGTGTGTTTTTTTAACATAAGTGAAAAGAGTATATACAACTAGGGAAGGAAGTAACAAAACAGAATAAGTACGAGGAATAAGTGCAAGGGGGGTTGATCCCTTCCTTTCGCAGTTTCACTTTGGTTATGAAAACCTTCTTTTCCCCAAAAGTTGGTACTTTGTTCACAGACATGGGTTTGGTTTCCCTATTTATTGTGTTTCCCAACTTTTCTATTTTTACACTTCTGCTTCTAATCATTGAGATGGGTTCAAGGTTAAGAAAACGTCAATCCGATTTATTCTTCGAAGGTCTCTCTTTCTCGTGCACTCACAAAAAATTATTTACTTATTTGAGAGTATTGGAAAAAATAAAGTGGATAAGATCGATTTTATTTTATATTGACATGTTGAAGTAAATGTTGATTTTGGTTCATTTTGGTTTGATGATTTACTTTCAGGAAGAGATGCTCCACCGTCACACTACTCCTTCAAAATTCAGTCATTTTCATCGCTTTCCAAAGCTTCGATAGAGAAATACAATTCAGACAAGTTTGAAGCTGGTGACTACAAATGGTATCTATGTATATGAGAGGGTAATTTTTGAGAAAAATTGGGCCGAGCTGCGAGTTGGGCTTTGAGGCCCAGAACACGAAGGACTGAGTAAAAAAGGCCGTAAAGGATACTCCGGCCCAGGAGAGCAAGGTTACTCCGGCAAAGTTACTTCGGCCCAAGGAGGTGAAATTACTTCGGCTCACAAATGATAAAGTTACTCCGGTTCAAAGATGATAGATTTGTTCCGGTTCTGAGGAGATGTTGACCTACTACGGTCAAAAGAGATGAGGTTATTTCGGTTGAGAGGTTGTAAATGTACTTCGGTCCTGGAACAGCTTGGAGTTAGACCGGTCTTGAAGTCTACATCGGCTTTAGAGGCGTACCGGTCTTGGAGTTATACCGGTCAAGAGTCGTTGTTTCGGTCCAAACGCACCATGGGTTGAGCAAAGGAGAATCGAGATATGGTGTAGCGAGCAAAACCGAACTAAGGATAGGTCGGCCTAATCTGAGGCTCGGCATAGCTAATGTTGCTTCGGTCAAAATAGTAATTCGGCTATGGAGAAAACCATCCCACTTGGTTTAAGCAGTGGGGGAGGGTGTAAAAGGATAAGCATTATCCTTAGGAGAATGAATCCTAGGAGGACTCTGCATGGAGAAATACAAGTCCTACCAGGATTGTGCCACGGGAAACTTATAAAAGCTCACAAGCATCACCTTGGAGGAGGTAACAGAACTAGAGTTTTATATCAAGAAGAGTTATTTTGATTTCAAAAATCCCGTGTTAACTGGATTACTCAAGGTGAGCGGAATACAAATTTTTTTCATATGTCTACCATTATTAAGAGAAGGAAAACAAAAATTGGAGTTTTGAAAAATGAGGAAGGGGTTTGGGTGCATAACCCCATGCAGTTAAAAAGTTTAGCAAATGATTACTTTCAAAGCCTCTTTGCTTATACTCAAACTATTAGCCTTGATCATTGGAGTAATCTGACCAAGCACATCAATCCTGAGTGTGACACCACAAAATTTAAGGACATCATAATAAGATTTAGAATTTAAAATCAATATTACCACCAATATTACTAACATCCATTAATTAACAACCCAGAATTTAAAGTTCTTACATCACAACTTAGTCTTAGTACATAAAAGAAATGATACAAATATAAAAAGAAAACTAGAGAAAAATTAGAAATTTTAGAAAATAGTTCATGAAACTTGACACTCTTCAAGCTAACCAAGGTTGAGTGTCGCCTTGCAAGGCCCCAGTGTTTCCTTCGATTTCTTCGGTACCTAGCATAAAATGCCAGGGCAACGGGAATGCCAGTGAGCGATGAGCTCAATAAGATACTACAACCCGAAAATACCCACCCCGATAATAATACTCACAATTTATGAATAATATGTAGTAACAGAATAACCAGTAACATTAGTAAGTATAAAATAAATGTTATCAGTTGAAATAATAACAATAAATAATAATAAATCAAATAATAATAAAAAATTATAACAAACGGAAGCAATATTTTCATCATAAGGAATATGCCCGCCTTTCTTTTTAAATTTTCATAAATTTAGTTTATCAGATAAATTTAAGTAACTCCCCGTGGAA